GTGCCTGACATTATGCCAGGTTTCAGACAAAGCAGACTGAGTCCCTACCCTCAGGAGGCTTATCTGGAGGGGCCAGATATCCATATGTATGTAAAATTGCACCTGTGAAAAAGCAAGCCACAGTTGGAAAGAGAATATTTGCAAAGCACGTATCTGACAAGGGATGTATATCTCGATATATAAAGAACTCTTAAAACTAAATAGAATAACACAATTTTTTAAATGGGCAATAGATTTGCACAGATTTTCATAAAAGATATGTGAATGGCAAACAAGTATATGACATAGCTGGTCTTATGGAAAATACAAATGAAGACCACACTATCACTACGTGAAAAGAGCTTTAAAAAAACTGATAATACCAAGTACTGGAAATAACACGGAGTAACTAGAACCCTCACACAGGACTTGTAGGAATGCAAACAGCACAGCTACTTTAGAAAACTGGCCGTGTCCTCAAAAATTAAACACACATTTGCCCATTTACTCCACTCCTAGGTATCAATGAGAATTGAAAACATGCCCCCCCCCAAACATCCCGTATGCAAATGTACATACAAGCATTACTGGAGCCTCTGGACGGATCAGTCGGTTGAGCATCCAACTCTTGATTTTGGCTCAGGTCATGATCTTCCAGTTGTGGGATGGAGCCCCATATTGGGCTCTGCGCTGGGTATGGAGCCTGCTTAGGATTCTCTCCACCCCCCTCTCTGCACCTCCTCCCCAAATTAAATAAACATTTTTTTTTAAAAGAAGCATTATTCAAAATAGCCTCCAGATGGGGCGCCTGGGTGGCTTAGTCGGTTAAGCGTCCGACTTTCGCTTAGGTCATGATCTCGCGGTTCGTGGGTTCGAGCCCCGCGTCGGGCTCTGTGCTGACTGCCAGCTAAGAGCCTGGAGCCTGTTTCAGAGTCTGTGTCTCCCTCTCTCTCTGACCCTCCCCTGCTCACGCTGTCTCTCTCTCTCTCTCTCCTAGAAATAAATAAAAATATTTTTAAAAAAAATAGCCTCCAGAATGAAAAAGCCCCTAGTGTCCATCAGCAGGTGAATAGTATATCCATGCAATGGGGGCGGGGACGGGGAGGGGCAGGGAGGGGAGAGGAGGGGGTAAAGGATGTACAACCGGCTGGGGGAACCATTTGCGGGTAGGTGTCATCTACTAAGACTCATGGAACTGTACAGTTCAAGCGAGTGAATGGTTAGTCATGTAAATTAAACTCCAGTAAAGTTAAAAGTTTTTTTTTTTTAAGCCTGTAATCCAAATACCATACCACTGGACATTAACGAAAATAACTTTTTTTGTTGTTGTTATAAAGGCAAATATCTTGATGCTAATTGGTTTTGCCAAATGGAAAAAATATTTTGCTCTCTCTGGGCGCAGGTGCTTTTTCAATTTGATGGATTTCTTGAATAAAATTAGGTCAGATAAATATGTCTGTACAGGTCCATTGGTTTAAACTGGCACCCAACTTTTTAGTTCTACCTGCTTTGGAAACTGTGGTTTGGGAAACGTATATGGAATTTCTTGGGGAAAAAAAGTTCACTTATGACAAATGCCACCAAAAAAAAAAAAAATGACACTCGGGGAGCCTGGGTCGCTCAGTAGGTTAAGCGTCCGACTTCGGCTCAGGTCATGATCTCATGGTTCGTGGGTTTGAGCCCCGCGTCGGGCTCTGTGCTGACAGCCAGCTCAGAGCCTGGAGCCTGTTTCAGATTCTGTGTCTCCCTCTCTCTCTGGCCCTCCCCTGCTCATGCTGGCTGCCTCCCTCCCTCTCTCTCTCTCTCTCAGAAATAAATAAAACATTAAAAAAAAAAGTAAAAAAAAAAAAGTGACACCTCGAAGCGCCTGGGTGGCTCAGTCAGTTAAGCGTCTGACTCTTGGTTTCGGCTCAGGGCATGATCTCACAGTTTGTAGGTTCAAGCCCCGCGTTGGGTTCCAAACTGACAGCATGGAGCCTGCTTGGGATTCTCTCTCTCCCCCTCCCCTGCTCTCTCAAAATAAATAAACTTTTAAAAAATGACTCTCCTTTAAAAACAAAAAAAGACTGGCATGTGGGTATGACAAGGACCTGATAACAGGGGCATCTGAGCTGGTCAGGGAGGGCGAGAGCCTTGCTGAAGAAGTGGTCCTTGAGCGCCGCTGTGCGGGCGCAGCAAATTCTGACTTCCTAAGAGGGAAGGAAAGGCAGTCCAGGCAGTGGAAAGCTGGTGCAAAGCCCACAGGAGGAAGCATAATGGACACGAAATCTGAGAGGACAGTGTGCAGGACAGTGAGGGGCGGGAGGCCAGCCAGGAAGCAGGCAGGGGCCCGGCTGGGCCAGGGCCTACGGCACATTAAGCATTGCCTTCATTTTAAAATCCAATTTGCATTTACTGCACTTGGGTTGGAGGGGGCCAGGGGGGCAGCAGAACGCATCAGGCACCAGTCCCTGGGGGGAGCCTTCCGGAATGAATGGCAGGGGTGGGGAGATGGGAGGCTGTGAGGCTACAGAAACCAAAAAAAAAAAAAAAAAGCGAAAACAGCATCTCGCTATGCCAAATAAGGCCAGTGCAGCCACAACACCAGGGAGCTCTTAGAAAAGCAGCATCTCGGGCCCCAGCCCCGAACTGCTGACCCCACATGTTTCCACAAGCCCCCCAGCTCACTTGTGTGCGTGTTACAGTGTGAGAAGCACTGGTCTGGTCGTAGATCAGGCCCACCCGGTCTTCCATCTGGCTCTGCGCCCGGTGGCAGTGAGGTCTGGGGCAGGTTCACTAATTCTCTTCCGGAGAATGGGAACAATACCACCACCTATTTCATAGGTGCTCTAAGGATGAATGAGATCGTGAAAAGTACCAAACTTGGCATATGACACGGAGTAAGGGCCTACTACCGTTTTGAACTTTAAAAAAAAATTTTTTTTTTAATGTTCATTTGTTTTTGAGAGAGACAGAGCGCGAGCAAAGGAGGGGCAGAGAGAGAGACACACAGAATCCAAAGCAGGCTCCAGGCTCTGAGCTGTCAGCACAGAGCCCAACACAGGGCTCGAACTCATGAGCCGAAGTCGGGCACTTAACAGACTGAGCCACCCAGGTGCCCCAGCTTTGAAGGTTTTTAATCAGGAGAGTTGTTTGTTTGTTGTTGTTTTAATATTTATTTATTTTTGTGAGACAGAGAGAGAGAGAGAGAGAGAGACAGAGTGTAAGCTGGGGAGGGACACAGAGAGAGAAGGAAACACAGAATCCAAAGCAGGCTCCAGGCTCTGAGCTGTCAGCACAGAGCCTGACTCAGGGCTCGAACCTGAGTATGGTGAGACCATGACCTAAGCCGAAGTCAGAAGCTTAACCGACTGAGCCACCCAGGCACCCCTGTCTGTTTTTGTTTTTTTCAGAAGTTCAGGAAGACAGCCTGACAGGGCGCCTGGCTGGCTCAGTGGGAATAGCATGAGACTCTTCATCTTGGTGTTGTAAGTTCAAGCCTCACACTGGGTGCAGAGATTACTTAAAATCTTTTAAAAAAGGAAAATTAAATAGGGGCACCAGCTGCCAGCCTGGCTCAGTTGGTGGAACGTGCAACTCTTGATTTCTGGATTGTGAGTTCGAGCCCTATGTTGGGTGTAAGAGATTGCTTAAAAATAAAATCCTTAAGGGGCACCTTGGTGGCTCAGTCAGTCAGGTTTCTGACTCCGGCCCAGGTCATGATCTCATGGTCTGGGGGTCTGTGGGTTCAAGCCCTGCGTTGGGCTCCGTGCTGACAGCTCAGAGCCTGGAGCCTGCTTTGGATTCTGTGTCTCCCTCTCTCTCTGCCTCTCCCCAGCTTGTACTCTCTTTCTCCCTCTCAACAATAAATAAACTTTAAAAAATTATTTAAAAAATAATAACATCCTTAAAAATAAATAGCATTTAAAAGTAAAATAAAGGGGCGCCTGGGTGGCTTAGTCGGTTAAGCGTCCGACTTTCGCTTAGGTCATGATCTCTCGGTTTGTGGGTTTGAGCCCCGCATCGGGCTCTGTGCTGACTGCCAGCTCGGAGCCTGGAGCCTGTTTCAGAGTCTGTGTCTCCCTCTCTCTCTGACCCTCCCCTGCTCACTCTGTCTCTTTCTCTCTCTCTCTCTCTCTCTCCTAGAAATAAATAAAAAATATTAAAAAAAAGTGTTTCTAAAAAAAAATAAAATAAAAGTAAAATAAAAAGACCACCTGATAAGTGATCGATCCCTTTCATCAAAAGGACGAGTCATCTCTCTCATCATAGAAAAAATGCAAATTCTTTTAAAATAAGTAGATTTTCCCCTCTCCTCCCCAGATTCAGTTCCAGGGAAGAAGAAACTGGAATCTTCTAGCGCTTGCTAATGACTTATAAAGCGATCCAGTTGCCGTGGTCAGCAATCTGACGGTGCCGAAGAGAGACCCGGCTGGGGCACACACGTTCAGCGGCCGGTGATTGCACTCCTGGATAGAAACCTGAGAAAATCTCGGTCAGGGACCCAAAGAGGCTCATGACAATGTTACGATGGCCACATCCTGGGGCTGGAACTAGGCTGGGGTACCAGGGACAGAATTCCTCAAACAGCCATGGTTTAGACAGGATGGAAGCTCCTCTCCCACCCGAGCCCGGAGGTCAGCAGCGCAGGGCTGGCAGGACGCTGCAGAGAGGCTGGGGCCGGGGCTCTGTCCCTCCGCATCCCGTGCCACGTGCGCGGCTTCTCTCCCCAAGGTCGCCTCATGGCCGCCAGGCCGCTCCGCTTCCAGCAGCTTGAGGACAGCGATGGAAAGGGGCTCCCGCCGCCCTCTTTGGGCAACGCCCTGAGAGGCGCACCCCTCGCCCCCTTACACCCAGGAGCCTGAACCGGCAGCTGGCTGGCTGTCCTCGCTCTGAACTCCCTGCACTTTGCTAACAACCGCAGGCTCTGTTACCCTGAAAGGAGTAAGAATGGATGCAAGGGGACAACTAATGGTCTGTCACCGGGGCCGTAGCGAGGGGTCCCGTGGGGGGTCACAAAGACAGAAACCTTCAAGGCAACGCAAGGTGAAAGGACTCCCCTTTATTTTGGTGAGGCCAAATACACAATGTTAACGTGTCCAAACTCATCAACGGACAAAAAAGATCTGGAAAAAAAAAAAAAGTTACACCATATCGTGGATTATTTAAATGTTATAGAGGCTTCTATTTTTCTCACATTGTAAGGTCAAAGGGATGCCACTTTCCAACAAAAGACGTTTTGAGAAGGTGACATACTTTTGCCAGGATTATACCACGTATCAGTGGAGAATCAACGGCTTTATTAGTAGACAGTAGTGAGAAGTCTGGCTCTTTCTGCGGGGAACATTAAACCTGGATCTCCTAGGCAGAGTTGAATTGATATCGTTTAGAAGTAATATTCAATATTTAGCAGCCGGTACGGCCCGGAATTGACCAATGAGGACAAATGTTCGATCACACAGAACTGAGGCCAGCCGACGTGCATACACACCGGGGTGTGAGGGCTGGACCTCAGCCCCACTTAGCGGCTGAAACATGAAAGGGCAAACGAACGAGCTAACAGCAGAAAATGTAAAATATCGAAACTTTTTAAATAAGAAATCAAAAAGCAACAGATGATAGGACAAACTAGTTCACGCATGGGCATGACAACTGAGCATCCCTTTTCGGTGAAGGCCACCCCTAAAGAAATCAAGCACAAGTCCCCTTCCTCGAGCCGTCTGGGCAGTGCCCGAAAGGGAGACACAACAGCTGCTGGGCACGCGAAGAAATTCCCCGCTTTCTGAGTGGGTGAATGTCCATTAACACTCGCCTCCACTTTGCTCCCAACAGACTAGCAAAAATGAGAAAGCAGGGCAGTCGCAAGAGCTGGTGAGGATGAGGAGAAACGGGGACCCTCACGGAGGATGCTCCACGACCACTGGTGAGGGCACTTTAGTAGAACCACAGGAAAGTTAACCTGTCAGACCCGTAAGCCCATCCTGGGTCCCTGTGTTGGAGAACCTTCCACGCGTGTACCGTAGGGGACCCACGAAAGATGTTCCCCGCCGCCTCGCTGACGTCCTGAGGGGCTAGAGGCGCCCCGGTGCCCGCCGCCTGGCAAACGTGGACGTTGCAGTCGAGGCTCACTGAGGAACGGCCCACAGAGCCGTCCGGGCAATGGGGCCCATGCGGAGGAAGCACCACGTATTGAATGAGGAGAGAACGGCACGAGATCTGCCCATGCTGGTACCGCCCGGGGCCCAAGTGCATTCACGCAGACAACGTGCGTCTTGCTGAGACATTCGCAGGCGAGCACGCGTGACCCACACGTGAGAACAGGTGCTTAGGAGGGCGCGGAGGGAGCAGGGAAAACCAGAGACGCCTTTCCCGGACTAGAATCTGGAGATCCGAACAAAACAAGCTCGACGTGCTCAGCGATGCCTTAAACAATGTGCGCGCATCAGGAAGGTGCCTGGAGAGGGTGCCGGGGCGAGGGAGACGCGCAAGGCTGGGGGTCCACCGGCCTCGTCTGCCTGGGCTTAAGTGAGCGCTTCGCGGGGCTGGACCGCTTATGCTCCTGCAGGCCCGGGAACCATGCGCGTGTCCGCGCCCCCACTGGGGTCACTGCCAGTCCTAGCCCCCGGATGTCCCAGGCCTGGTATCCGCGCCTGCCCCTCTTTTATTGCCATTCGCTCTAAATATGAGCACTTTTGTAAGAACAGCCATTTCCAGGAAGGAAAGGGGGTAGGTGGGAGTGAGGGGTACCTTCCCCATATCCTGGGGGGGCTGCAAATGCGGTGCACCCAGGGCCCGGAGCCAAGGTCCACCCAGGACAGCAATAACAACCACACAACTAACCAAGTAACCAACAGCTCAAAACCAGGGTCAATGGGGAGGGGGGAGGGGGGTGTCAAAGTTCGCCGCTAGATTTTGCTTCAGCTAGAAGATAAGTCTATACAGGGTCAAAGAGGCAGCTATTCTCCCCAGGTCGAGGCTGCACATCAAAACGGGGTCTGGGGTTTCAGCTCCAGACCTCGATGAGGTCCCCGGATTCCATGCCCAGGTCAGCGGGCAGCTCCTTGCCTGAAAGCTTTGTCCCGTCAAAGAAGAAGGAAAGCTTGTGGCCAGAGAGTCCCATGGCCTCCTCGTAGCGGGACATGAGGATCTTGAGAGGGGAATCCTGGACAGAGAGGAAGAAAATGGATATAAGAGTTTGAAAAGATGTGGGGGGGAGGGTTGGATGGCTCAGTCGATAGAAAATGTGACCCTTGCTCATGGGGCCGAGTCCCATGTTGGGTGTAGAGACAACTTAAAAATAAAATATTTAATGGGGGGCCTGGGTGGCTCCATCAGATAAGCGTCGGACTTCGGCTCAGGTCATGGTCTCACGGTTTGTGGGTTCGAGTCCCGCATCGGGCTCTGTGCTGACAGCTTGGAACCTGGAACCTGCTTTGGAGACTGTGTCTCCCTCTCTCTCTGCCCCTCCCCTATTCATGCTCTGTCTCTCTCTCTCAAAAATAAATATTTAAAAAAACTAAAAAAACAGGGGTGCCTGGGTGGCTTAGTCGGTTAAGCGTCCAACTTTCACTTAGGTCATGATCTCGCGGTTCGTGGGTTCAAGCCCCGCGTCGGGCTCTGTGCTGACTGCCAGCTCAGAGCGTGGAGCCTGTTTCAGAGTCTGTGACTCCCTCTCCCTCTGACCCTCCCCTGCTCACGCTGTCTCTCTCTCTCTCTCCTAGAAATAAATAAAAAACATTAAAAAAAAAATTTTTTTTTTAAACTAAAAAAACAAAAAACAAGAAGCCTCACAATTAAGGGGCACTTGGGTGGTTCAGTTGGTTAAGCGTCCAACTTCAGCTCAGGCCATATCTCACAGTTTGTGAGTTCGAGTCCCGTGTCAGGCTCTGTGCTGAGCTCAGGGCCTGGAGCCTGCTTCGGATTCTGTGTCTCCCTCTCTCTCTGCCCCTCCCCCACTTGTGCTCTGTCTCGGTCTCTCAAAAATAAATAAATGTAAAAAAAATTTTTTTAAACCCTCACAATTAATAAAAAAATGAATAACATTTTTTAAAATTTAATAAAAAATAAGAAAAAATCTTAAAAAAAAAAAAAGAATTTCAAATGAGAGGCTAAGAACTTACAGAGACTGACAGAGGACTCAGGACAGAGAGGACAAGGGGAGGAATCAAGTCAGAGCCCACAGAGGGGAAGGCAAGTGGACGAAGCCAGTATGGCCGGGTCCCTCTCTAGGGGACTGGGCCACAGAGGTCAAGGCTGCAGGCTCTGGGTCAGGCAGGTTCTGCAAGCCCCAAGCTCCTCACCTACCGATGAGGCACCAGTCACAGTGATGGAGCCAGCCCAGACCCTCGAATGAGGATGGCCTGAGCTGGCAGCCAGGCTCTCCCACTCAGCTCACGTGCGACCTTGGGCAAGTGCCCCGGTAAGTGCGAATGGGACCATTTCCCATTTCCAAAGAGGAAACAGGGCCTTTGTAATTGGGTGAAGACGAGAGTGACTCGCTGAGGGTGGACACCAGTGACTGGTGACCTCACAAGGAGACACACAGGGAGGACCCCACGTGACGACAGAGGCAGCTGCAGGCCAAGGAGCACCCAGGACGGGTGGCCACATCCAGGAGCCAGGAAGAGGCAAGGAGGTTTCCGCCCAGAGTCTCAGAGGGGGCGTGGCCCCCTGCTGCTCGGCCCCTAGGCCGAGACCCCTGGCCTCTAGGACCTTGTGAGAATACAGCTGCTTGAAGCCAGCCAGTTTGTGGTGTTTGCTACAGCAACCCCAGGAACACACACCGCAGCCCCGCGACCTTATTCATTAAACGAGGGCAACACAGATGGTTTCTGGGCAACATCACTGTGAAACTCGCCACCACCCTAACCGGGAAGTAATTCTCTCTCGCGTGGGGACTGTCAGAAGCGTGGTGCAGTTGCTCCGGCAGCCTTCCCTGGTTATTATCCAAGGGTCCTTTCCATTTTAAGCAGACGGGGTTGGGAGGCTAGAGCAGAGGCTCCTAGCCCAAGGGGGAGCAAAGCTGAACGACGGGCTCTCCCCTCTCTCTAGGACGGGAGGAACCCAAGCCGCTCAGGACTTGGGGTGGGGGGGAGCCACCCGCGGGTAGCTGACCAGAGAGACACGGTCAGCGGAGGAAAGGGCGAGGGGCCCGGACAGCTGTGTCCCCCACTCACCGGAGACAGCGAGACTTCCAGCATCTGGTGCTTCTCCTTGCCCTGCACTCGCAGCTGGAGGAGGTGGGACATCTCTGAGGTTTCCGGAGAATGTGCTAGCACCACGCAGTCTGTGGGAGGCAGGATGGGGAAGCCAGGCCTAAGCGGGGGGCTGGACGCAGGGCCCCCTCTGGCCCTTTGCCTCTAGCCCCTCCCTGTGGCCAAAGCCTCCTCGAGGCCCCCCCCCCCCCGCCTTCCTCTCACCGATGATGTCAGCCACTCCGAGCTTTAGGGTCCTGGGAGTGGCAGTGGGGGACAGCTCTGTCTCTCCAAAGAGCAAGAGGATCCTGCTTGGGGACACCCCGAGATGGGTGGCCATGTGGTCCACCACAGTCTGTAGGGGCTCCGACTGGGGGAGGGGACAAGAAGCAAAGGAGGCCACCTCCCGACATGCCCCACTCCCCTTCCGCCACCACCTCCAACACGATTCCGGCCTGATTCTGGCCTTGGCTACTCCAAGGCCACTCGCTGAGCAAATCAGCCGGAAGTTCCCGGCAAAGTACGGAATAAAGTCACATCAGTGTGGGGTGTGGGGAGGTGACACAAAGAAATGAAGCGGCCGTGGATTAGGAGGGAGAAGGGCAGGGGTGGTGAATGCAGCAAACTGGATCTCACTGGCCCCCTCGAATAGGCCAGCTGTCCCCAGCTCTGGCCAATGGTGGCCGTGTGGGAGCCACGGGCTGGTGCCCCTACTCCTTCCTAGTTAAGAGAAGCCAGGCAACTGGTCCTTTGTACGAAATCACTCACTGCGGAGGCCGGCAACGAACGCATGTTTGAGAAGCATTCTGCATCTATGGGATACAAGTGAGATGCACGGTCGCTAAAGCCACGGGCTGCGTGTCTGTGACGACCGGCTTAGCTGCTCGCCCGATGCACCATTCGTTAGTGCTCAGTAAACGGTTATTCCTATTGCCCCTCTTGCTTTGGAATTGGGCTCGTCCCTACACAAATAGTCGCTTCCGCCAGGAAACTGGGGGGCGCTCAGAGCGACTGAGTGACATCTGTGACTGACACAGTAGAAGCAGGCACTGACAGGGTAGCAGGAGGTCCGAGGGAAGGGACGGAGGAGGGGGCGACCAAGCAAAGCTTCTTAGGAGGCTTAAGGGAGCCCTGAAGGGTGGGTGGGAAGTTTGCCAGAGCAGAGTAAGGGAAGGACAAAGGGAAGAGGGAACACAAGGGGGGGGGGGAGCGGACGAGCACTGGCTGGATGGGCAAAGCAAGACATGGTCCCTTCTGCCCTGACACCAAGCTCGCTCCACAGGCAGCTCCGGAGACGCTTCCCCACAGCCCTTCAGGCACTTACCATCCTCAGGGGCAATCTGACCACATCCGCCCGGCACCTGATTTTCAGCGGGAAGAGTCGGGGGCTCTCGGGAAGGGTGGGGCCCTCCACTAGGACCACCTCGTCCTCTTGGTTCTGGTAACCTTGGCCCTGGCACTGCTTGGGACTCAGGCAGGAACGGAGGTCTTGGAGGCGCTTGTTCACCTCCCTGGGGTGCAGGAAGGACGCAGGGTCACCAGGGTGGGCCACCCGCCCAACGGGCCCCTCTCTACCCCAGCGAGCCCCCTGCCCTGGGCACCTTAACTTCTGGAGTGCCCGGGTATGCTTTCTGCTTTTGGTCCTCGGGGGAGGCGGAGGCGAAGGAGAGGGGTCTTGGAATCTACAGCGAGAAGACAGGGCTGGGATGGAGGGAGAGGAAGGGACCCCGGTCCCAGACCCCTCCTCGTGGGCCACGGACCCCTGGGGAGCACGACGGGGAGGTGGATGATCAAGAAGGAACACCTTCCAGTGACATCACCTTGTGGACACGGGGAGGTAAGGTCAGGGCAAACCTCGGCCATGGTTTTTATACTCAACGTGATCCAAATATTAGGGAGGAAAATGCCTAACTTTCAAGGTAAGACGCTTCCCACGTGACTATCTGATAGCATCCAACAGACACCCAGCGCTTACATTTCTTTGACACGGGGACCATCGTTATCCCCGTTTTCCAGAAAAGGACAGTGAAGCACAGAGATAGCTAAGAGAGAGCCAGCTGTTGCCAGGACATGGAGGGGACTAGTGTGTATGCAGCTGCATGACATGAGTCAGTTGGAGAAAGACAAGTATCACATGACTTCACGGGAGGAACTTCAGATACAAACCAGATGAACATAAGGGAAGCAAAAATAATATAAAAACAGGGAGGGGGACAAATCCTAAGAGGCCCTGAAATATGGAAAAGAAACTGAGGGTTGCCAGAGGGGATGTGGGGAAGGGGGTGGGCTCCGTGGGCAAGAGGCACGAGGGAGGACACGTGTTGAGCTGAGCACTGGGTGTTATGTGTCGGGAATGAATCACTGGATTCTACTCCTGACATCATTATTGCACTAGATGCCAACTACCTTGGATGTAAATTAAAAAATTAAAGAAAGGGGCTCCTGGGTGGCTTAGTCGTTTAAGCGTCCGACTTTCACATGGGTCATGATCTCGCGGTTCGTGGGTTCGAGCCCCGCGTCGGGCTCTGTGCTGACTGCCAGCTGAGTGCCTGGAGCCTGTTTCAGAGTCTGTGACTCCCTCTCCCTCTGACCCTCCCCTGCTCACGCTGGCTCTCTCTCTCTCCTAGAAATAAATAAAACATTAAAAAAATTTAAAAAAAAAAAATTAAAGAAAGAGAGAGACGGGCTAGCCAGATCTGGAGCCACACCCTTAACCTCTCAGACGCAAAGCCAAAACCCTCCACTCCCATGGGTGGTCCTAAAGGGTGGGCCAGTGTCCGCCAACTCTGGTCCCAAGAACTTCATTCCTGGGGCGCCTGGGTGGCTCCGTCGGTTACGTGTTCTTCGACTTCAGCTCAAGTCATCATCTCCCGGTTCGTGAGTTCGAGGCCCCCCATCGGGCTCTCTGCTGTCAGCACAGAGCCCGCTTTGCTTCGTATCTTCTGTTCCCCCATCTGTCTGCCCCTCCCCCACTTGCACTCTCCGGGTCTCCCTTAAAATAAATAAATAAACTTTTAAAAAGATGTTTAAAAAAACACAAAACTAGAAACAACTTCATTCCTCCCTGAGCCTCAAGACTCCCTCCATCCCGTCCCCTTCCCCTACTTCAGCCCACACCTGCGGCTCCCTTTCCGCTCCTGGGGCCCCCGCGCCCCAGCCTCACTCACAGAAATACATCCTTTGTCTTCTCTTCCACGTCCCTGCTCCTCAGCTTCTTCTTCCAGGGCGAATCTGGAAACGGGATGTCCTCAGCAAGTGGCCTGCTGGAATCTGCCACATCTGCCTCTGGGGACAGAGGAGGAAAGGGGGATGGGGTCAGCTAAGAGAGGGCAGCGAGCGGCCAATGAGAGGCATGTCGGGGCCTGAGAAAGGTGGAACCTGAGGGGCCCCAGGACGCGCGCGCGCGCACACACACACACACACACACACACTGGGGAAGTGCTCAAGGGGCACAAGTCATAGGGAGAAGGGAAAAGGATGGTGGAAGTCTAACGGAGCGGGAGCGTCTGAGCCTCGTGCTAAGGCATGAGCCAGCACAGGAGTCTGGACGACGACTAGAAGGTGGGCCGCTCCAATTACATTATGATTAATTTAATCTCGTCTCACTTTTTTGATTACGTGCCACCCACAAATATGGGGGAAACATGTGATTTACTTAACACACCTTCCAGACCTTGGACCTTCTTAATACATATACCTACTACCGTATGTACATACACACATACTCCTGATTACACACGCACATACTACCGTGCATGTGACAGAACACACTTCAAACCAGATGCTGGCAAAGGATGATTTTTTTTAATGTTCCTCTTATGTTTTTCCTGTACTGGATAGGATAAGCAGAGCGAGAGACCACGGGAGGCTTGGGGAGGAGGCGGCATGGCGCAGGGAGAGAGTGAGGTAGAGCGCACAGGCCCTCTGAGGCCACGTTTCTCAAATTTCGTCTGTGCGAGCATCATGATCACATTTTGTCATATCTCTGTAGTATTTAATATCTTTGCTTAATCACTCATGTTAACTGTGATTTCTTGTAACAGGAACCCGGAGGTTGATTCTAGAATATAGAAGCTCTTTTTCATTTGTTTGCCCTCAACCAAAGATCATCATTAGCCACAAAAATAAATACCGCAAAAACGAAGCGATGATAACACGTCCTAGGGCGGTGGTTCTTGACCAGAGGCCGCTTTGCCTCCCAAGGGACATGGCGGCGATGTCCCGAGACAATTTCCGTTGTCATAATGAGGAGGGGTCGGGGTCAGGAGTGTGTGACACTGGCCCCTGGTGGGTAGAGAGGTTGGAGTGCCGCTAAGCACCCTACAATGCACAGGACACGTCCCCGCAGAGGGTCACTCAGTCCAGATGTCAGTAAGGTCAAGGCTGAGAAACTCTATCCTCGATAAATGTGGCAGCTGGTTAGACACACGACATTCTGCATTTCTGATAAGCTCCCGGGAGACACCCAGCGCTTCCTGGGCCTACACCTAGAGCAGCAAGGAGAGAGGTACCTTTGCACGTCTACATTCCAGGTACCGTCCTAAACCCTACATGTGGCCCATGAGAGGGCTCCTTATCCATTTTCTTTAATTAATTCTCACCAAAACCTTTTGGCATAGGACCCCTCGTATTCCTATTTTCCTGATGACAAAATAAGCACTGAGAGATGCACTTGCCCAAGGTCACACAGCTCCTGAAAGGGAGAGGGGAGATTCGAACCCAGGCCAGCTGGTTCCTAAATCAGCTCTTGATCACCCTACCATGCTTGCTCCTGGTACAGAAGGCTTGGTCCGAGGTCTGCATTTGCCCACCGGATCCCTTCCACATTAAACTTGATTCCTATTCACTGCCTTTGGGTGGTTTGCAAAAAAACAATCACATCACTGAGGGAGGAGAGTTCTGATAAGATTCAAAGAACACCACGCTGGCTCCAGAGTGTTCCTGAGGAACGATGTTACAGATTCTCAACCCCTCCTCCTCCCCTGCCCCTGGGATTACAGAATCCGAATCTCTGGGAATGGCCTAGAAATTGGGAGATCAGCACACTCTTGCCCCTATCAGGCTGGGGGGAGGTGGTTTGACGGACTTTCTGTGCCTCCTGGTTAATAATCATCTCATTTCAGGGAAGAAGCCTTTTTTTCTGGCTATGATGAAGGACTCGTGCCTTTCTCTTGAGCCTCAGGAATAAAATGAACTGCAGAGATGTAAACTCCAGGAAGCTTCCTCAGAGAGGCCAGCACTGGGCACCTCTCTTTTTATTTTTTTAATGTTTTTTATTTATTTCTGAGAGAGAGAGAGAGAGTGTGAGCAGGGGAGGGTCAGAGAGAGAGGGAGATACAGAATCTGAAGCAGGCTCCACACTCTGAGCTAGCTGTCAGCACAGAGCCCGACGCGGGGCTCGAACCCACAAACTGTGAGATCATGATCTGAGCCGAAGTCAGATGCTCAACCAACTGAGCCACCCAGGTGGCCCTGGGCACCTCACTCTGGAAGTGTGCGCCTACCTTCCTCAGCTTCTGGAGGACAGAGTTTCAGAAGGGACAGGTGATCTGGGATGAGATGAAGGCTGCTTTTCACCTGTAAGGACAAAAGTGAATCAGTCCCAAACCCTCCCTCTACTGAAAGGGAAAACAGGAGGACTCTTCCCTTCCTCCGCTCTCAAGTCCAAGTTCTCTCTGGGCGGGTTAGGAACCCAGCTTCCACAAGACCCACATTAGAGTACCCCTACTACTACAATCGGCCCTTCCCCTAAGGCATTCTGGGGATGCAAGTTTAGTTTTTCTTTTACAGTAGCCATCCCTGCTACGTTGGAATCCTGGGGAATCCCAGCTTCCTAGCTCACCCTACCACCAGGGGACCCCAGCTTCCTGGAGTCTCCAGTCTTCTCTGAACTTCCATGACCCCAGCTGCCTGGATCCTTAGCAATGGGCCCCAACTTCAAAACCCAACATGCCCCAAATCCCAGCCCCAGGATCCATCTCAGAAGGGGATCCCGGCCCCTTAGCCTCTCTCCGCTCCCGACACTTCAGCTTCCGGGAATCCCAAACTTCACCTCTCCAAACTGCAGAAACCTCCGGAACCCTGTCTCTCTCTGCTTCCAAGACCCCAACTCCTGCGTCCGTTGAGTCCCCCAAGACCAACCCCAGAAAACTTATCTGAGCAGTCCCCAGACCCAGCCCTTCTGCGCTAGCCTTCCCGGGGACCGTGCTGCACCTTCCCGGAGTACACCGGAACAACCGGTGCCTCCCCCGGATCCAGCCGCAGCCGCCGCCGCCGCCTGACCGGGGCCTGCGGGGCTCCGGCCGGCGGCGCGTCCGCCCCTTCGCTGTCACTGTCACTGTTGTCCCGGGGGGCAGCCGGCACTGGGGGCTCCGGGTGAGGGATCTCGACCGACTCCGCAGCGTTGCGCGCCGTTGTGACCTCCAGAACATCTTCATCGCTGTCGCTGACCAAGTCCACAAACATCGAATCCAGGATGGGCCGCGCTGGAGACCGCGGGACGCGAGGACGCCGGCCCCGGCCGCCGCGGGACCCACGAGCCCCTCGGCCGACACAGCCGCCCCGGGGTCGGCGACCCGGCTTCCTCACCGGCTCCGCCATGGCACAAACCCGCCGACCACAGTCCCCCGCCTCTGGGCGCCTCGCCCGGCCCCCTTCAGCGACCTGCGCCCATCATTGGGTAAACCGTCTGCTAGTCAACACCCCTCCCCTCCCACACCCTCTGGCTCCTCCTACCCACCTTTTCATTGGTTATCACACCCGTCTATCATACATCCACCACTGAAACCGAGGCGCCAAAGATTCCAATCAACCTCGGCGCAATCAGCGTGGCTTTCGATTCGTTCCGGCTCACCCATTGGCCGCCTGCCTCTCTTCCTGACCAGCCCACTTCGGGCCCGCCCGTTAAATAGACGCGTGTTCCTGGTTGGAGAGCCAGCGGGGCATCTTGGGAATTGTAGTCCTCAAGCCCTCAGACTACACAGTGGAGGAAGACGGCCTCCGAATTGTTTTTAGAAACCGCTGAATAAGGCTTTAGTCCTCTCCGGTATCGCCGTTATTGCTCCCCGCAACGACGCTGTGGACTAATTCCACTCATCGCCACTCCGACACACACGCCCCTCCTCACGCGCACAATCCACACACCCCGGCCCAGCACTTCAAATCCACTCAACTCTGAACAACCCCCTACATCACACATATCGCACATACCCTCCCTCACACCCGATGTCTCCTACAGACTGGCTTCACGCGCAGTGTTAACACAACACACGCCCTCGCAACACCCGCCGGCAGCACACACCTAAACACAACACGCCTTGGAAACAGCACCTGGAGAGACAAATCCAGGTGAAAAATTAGAGGCTTGATTCTCCCTGTTGAAAAGGAGTGTGACTTCCCTCTCTCCCACTTTTGTTTCAGAATGCCTCCTTCGTCCTTTTCAAATGATTGTACATGTCTACTGTGGTTAAATAGCGCCTTGCAAGTCTCCTAACTCAGGAGCTGAAAGCCATTTTTTTTTTTTTTGAAATGCAACCCTCTACGGCGAGAGATGATAGATCCGGATCTCCCAGTTCCTGGGAGAGGGAGTAACCACCTAACTTTGGTGGAGGCCTTGCGGTGATGTACTAAAGTACCTCGGGTCAGAAATAGGTGAGAAGCTTGTTTCTCCCCTGGATATAAGCCAATCACCGTGATAAAATTAGGATGAACTAGGCGGGACTAAAGATATTGGGTTTTGACATTTTTATCTTGAAAACAGGATAAGGGGCTGTACCTGCTTGGCCACCTGCTTGTGTGAAACTGAAGGAAAAACAAAAAACCTGATTCAAAATGAAGTTGGGGGACATCTGGCCAGATCAGTGGGTAGAGCACATGACTCTCCATCTCCATCTCCATCTCCATCTCCTGAGTTCACGCCTCACGTTGGGCATAGGACTTGATGTGGGGCCACGAGACTACCGGCCAAGAAAGAATTCTTGAGATATCTTCGGTGCAAAGAGGTGCTTTATTACAGCATGGGGACAAGACCCGTGGGCAGAAAGAGCTGCACTTCTGCTGTATGAAGCTGGTGGTTATATGCTTAGTGCTCAAGAGGGAGGGGACTTGCAGGGAGTATTAGATCAAAAATGTTTTCTTTGAATGTCTACTCATAAAACTCGCACGATTTCTCTCATCATTCAGTTCGATATTAACCATGGGTAGATTGTACAGGCACACATGAGACCCTCTTAAGAATGTAGGAGCCATACAGGTCATGATCTCACAGTTTGTGGGTTCAAGCCCCGTGTCGGGCTCTGTGCTGACAGCTCAGAGCCTGGAGCCTGTTTCAGATTCTGTGTCTCCCTCTCTCTCTGATCCTCCCCTGCTCGCTCTCTGTCTCTCTCTCTCAAAAATAAATAAACATTAAAAAAAAGAAGAAGAAGAAGAATGTAGGAGTAAGTTAAGGCTCTTAACTCTTGATTTCGGCTCAAGTCATGATCTCATGGTTCGTGAGTTCCAGCCCTGCATGGGGCTCTGCGCTGACAGTGTGGAGCCTGCCTGGGATTCTCTCTCTCCCACTCTCTCTGCCCCGTCCCTGCTCATGCGCATGCTCACTCTCTCTCTCTCTCTGAAAAGAAACTTAAAAAAAAAGAATGTAGCAGCCAAAAACCAAACAAACAAAAGAATATAGCAGCCAGCATGTATTTGAGTCTCATCAGAATTATGTAGGCTTTGGATCAGCCTTCTGGCTAACGGTGAACATTTTCTGTTCATCAGAGCTTACTTAAAAAAAAAAAAAAAAAAGAAAGAAAAGAAAGAAATTGGGAAGCCAGAGGGGGGAGCTCTTAGTCCTGCCACTCCTTACAGCCTTTTGCAGAACCAAGGAGACAGGTTGTATTTGCAATAGGCACGAGCCTACCCCAGCAGATTTTCTCCTCAACCCAGCAACAGCCCCGGCCACGTGAGACGGGCGCAACTCAGCCAATGAGAAGCCCCTATGCTTGGAACCCAGTTTCTCCCCACCCTTTCCTACGATTTTGTCAGAGCTCGCAAGTCCCAAATAGTATTTCTCTGCTCTTCCTGAATAAACCTGTTTTTGCTGGAAAAATAACTGATACTTTTATTCTTTTATTTTTTTTATTCTTTTATTTTTTATTTATTTTCTGAGAGAGAGAATCAGGGGTGAGAGACGACGAAAGGGGGAGGTTGGAGAGAGGGAATCGCAAGCAGGCTCCACATTCAGTGTGGAGCCCAACACGGGGCTTGATCCCATGACCCTGAGATCCTGACCATCGCCGAAATCAAGAGTCGGATGCTCAACAGTTTTATTCTTAAGGACATCACCTATAATGTACATAACATTCTGGTTTAATGCTTCCAGTAATAAAGTCTGTTTTCTGTCTCTATCACCTTGCGTGGGGGTGGAGGGTGAGTCTGCATTGGAAGATTTTTTTTTCACATCCACCAACATCATGCACCTCAGAAGCTACGTATCCTCCACGCGTCTACCTTACTCACACCTTCTGTGCGTTATGCACCCCAGCACAGCACAGATACACCCCTTCAACACTTCACACCTCCCACATCACCTCCAACCGTGTGGTCCCTGCCACCTCACCCACACCACACTTCACACATAACACACGGCCAGTACCACCACCTCTCGCACACCCAATGCTCCCGTAACTTAGACTTCAGACACCCATCTGGTACAGCATCTTTGACTGCCATGCGTGTCCCATTCCATCCCCCTCCCCCACACGAATATCCCTGGCACATACAACCAGGTCGGTCAGCCCACCCCTCAAATCCTCCGTGCAGGCTCCCCACAGGCTGACTGGAGGCGTCCAACCCCAGCAGGTGGTGCTGTCTACCAGGGGATAAAGGCACCCGGGCTCCAGTAGAAGGGACTCCAAGGACTTCGTGGTCCCAGGAAATCTTCAGCCATTCCTTGCAGCCAGGCTGAGAGCAGAGACATTGCACCAGAAACCCTTCGGCCAGCCTGGAGCCCCACCACGAGGCCACTGCAAACTAGGGAGGCAGAGGGTAACCCTGAGGACCTGGAACTTCCCTCGAGCCTCCTTCTTCTCAAACCTTGTTCAAGAGCTGTAAGTGCTCCAGCCCCTGCCAAAAAAAATCAGGTCCTGTGGATGTGGAGAAGCATTGGAGTGTGACTTCCTCCTGGGCAAGTCCCTGCAAGAAGCCCCGATGCAAATGATCTTGGTGCCCCTCTGGTTCATGGCACAGAAGGCCCCTAATAAATGCCAAATCATAATAGTAACTAACATTCAGTGTGCTTACTATACCACTGTCATGAGCTTTACCTCCAAGACACATTAAGGCACGTAAAATTATCCCTATTTTACAGACCTCTTAAACTATAGCACAGAGAGCTTGAGTCACACAGCTAGAAAGGGGTGAGCTGGGATGCAAACCCAGATAATCTGAAACTTCAGAAAAGGGGGGAGGATGCCCAGGTGGTTCAGACTGTTGGGCATCCAACTCTTGGTTTCGGCTCATGTCATGATCTCACGGTTCATGAGTTCAAACCCCCGTCAGACTCTGCGCTGATAGCACAGAGCCTGCTTGGGATTCACTCTCTCTCCCTCTCTCTCTCTCTCTCTGACCTTCCCTTGCTTGCACTTGCTCTTTCTCTCTCTCAAAATAAGTAATATATACATTTAAAAATTTTTAAAAACAGGTCATCTGATTCCAGAGCACTGGGCTGGAATTTCCCAACTTCCCTCCACACTCCCCTAGTGGCAGAGCCCAGAAGCAGCTCCAGCCTCTGCACTCAGGGCTTTCTGAGTTATCTCTTCACTCCTCCTTCCCCACTTATTTCTGGAGCTCCTGATCTTTGCCATCTCTTGGCTGGGTGCAAGGGGCATAGGGAAGACCCTGGAACGGACTTGCCCTCAAGAAGGCAGGATGTTTTTATGCAGAGTCACATGCTCGAATGCTTCAGGCACAGGCAGGGAAATTCAACGGACTGTAGCAGGTGGATGAAAAGTAATAGGGAGCGGTGGGGATTATGGCAATTGGGAGAGCTTATTTTGGCTGAAGGGTAAGGTGGGTGTTCGAATGCTGGGGTAGATCTGTATTTCTTATTCTTAAGGTTTTTTTTCTTTTTTAAAAATTATTTTTTTAATGTTTTATTTATTCTGAGAGAGAGAGACAGCGTGAGCAGGGGATGGTCAGAGAGAGAGGGAGATACAGAATCTGAAACAGGCTCCAAGCTCTGAACTGGCTGTCAGCACAGAGCCCGACGCAGGGCTCAAACCCACAAATCACGATATCATGACCTGAGCTGAAGTCAGACGCTTAACCGACTGAGCCACCCAGGTGCCCCTGTAATGTTTATTTTTGAAACAGCGTTAGTGGGGAAGCGGCAGAGAGAGAGGGAGACGGAGAATCCAAAGCAGGCTCTGCGCTATCAGCTCAAAGCCCAATGTGGGGCTCGAACTCATGAACCATGAGATCGTGTCCGAGCTGAAGTCGAACACTAAACTGACTGAGCCACGCAGATGTCCCTGAAGGTTTTATTTTTAAGTAATCTCTACACCCAACATGGGGCTCAAACTTACAATTCTGAGATCGAGAGTCACGTGCTCTACCAACTAAGCCAACCAGGCACCCCTCTTCTTTATTTTTTATTAAAAAACTGTATTCTTTTAATTTTTTAATGTTTATTCATTTTTTAAATTTTTTAAAATTTATTTCTGAGAGAGAGAGACAGCGTGAACAGGGGAGGGTCAGAGAGAGAGGGAGACACAGAATCTGAAGACAGCCTCCAGGTTCTGAGCTAGGGGTCAGCACAGAGCCCCATGCAGGGCTCAAAAACACGAACCGTGAGATCATGACCTAAGCTGAAGTCGGACGCTTAACCGACTGAGCCACCCAGGCGCCCCTGTTTATTCATTTTTTAAGAGACAGAGAACAAGCAGGGAAGGGGCAGAGAGAGAGACACACAGAATCTGCAGCAGGCTCCAGGTTCTGAGCTGTCATCACAGAGCCCAACATGGGGCTCGAACTCATGAATTGTGAGATCATGACCTGAGTTGAAGTTGGCCACTTAAACCAACCAAACCACCCAGGCACCCCTAAAAAAATTTTTTTAGCGTTTATTTTTGAGAGAAATGGAGTGGGAGCTGGGTGGAACAGAGAGGGAGACACAGAACCCGAAGACACAAAATCTGAGCTGAGCTGTCAGCACAGAGCCTGACGTGGAACTCGAACTAATGAACCATGAGATTATGCCTGAGCCAAAGTTGGATGCTCAACCCACTGAGCCACCCAGATGCCCCTTCTTCTTCTTTTTAAAATTGATACCTGAGGAGCACCTGGGTGGCTCAGTGGGTTAAGCGTCCGACTTTGGCTCAGGTCATGATCTCATAGTTCATGGGTTCAAGCCCTGCATCAGGCTCTGTGCTGACAGCTAGCTCAGAGACTGGAGCCTGCTTCTGATTCTGTATCTCCCTCTCTCTCTGACCCTCCCCTGCTCACACTGTCTCTCTCTTTCAGAAATAAATGAAAAACATTTTAAAAAATAATATAAATAAATAAATAAATAAATAAATAAAATTGACACCTGAGCTCAAAAGCAACACAGAATCTTTCTGGTGCTAGAAATAAAGAAGGAAATCAAAGCCACAATGCTGAGAGGTGGCTGAAGTCAAGCAGTCCACAGGGACACTGAGATTCCTTAGGACTGGGATTTTCATACCCACAGGGGACAGAGGTCATACCCCAGTAACAGCAGAGACTGAAACTGAGTGCCTTACCCCAAACTAGGAGGTGAGAAGGGGCTGGCTCTTCTGGGCACAGAAGACAGAAAAACACCCCTCCACAGGCCCTGGGATACAACATGGAAGCAAGCTGGCTCCCAGGCTGTGGGACCCAGGAAACTTGGGGACTCCTGCAGGCAAGAGAAGCATGAAGAAGTCAAAAAACCTTCCATGGTGACATCCCCATGGGGAAATTCAACCCATCATACAGATAATGGTAACTACACCATGCCCCGTCCCTAATGCTATAATATAGTCGGGGAAACTGAGGGTCACTGAACTTAAGTAAGTTACCTAAGGTCAGTTAGCAACAGTATTTAGGGGCACCTGGGTGGCTCAGTCAGTTGAGCACCTGACTTCAGCTCAGGTCATGATCTCACAGTTCGTGGGTTCGAGCACCGCATTGGGCTCTGTGCTGACAGCTCAGACCCTGGAGCCTGCTTGGGATTCTGTGTGTCTCTGCTTCTTCTCTACTCGCAATTTGTCTCTCTCTGTGTGTCTCTCAAAAAAATAAAATAAAACATTTTTTTAAAAAGTATTTAATTCTCCATGACTCAGGCTTCTCAGCTGTAAAATGAGAATGTTTTGCGTCTCTTGCTCAAAGGATTGTCGTAAAGATAAAATGAGATGCTACCTGTAAAGCACATATTAGCACAATGCCTGGCACGGAATAATAATGTGTTAACACACAGAAGGTACGTTGTAAAGGTTCAGGGATAAAGAAGGAAGACAGTCTCTAAAACACAGGCCAGTGCGAAGAAAGAACATTGAGAAAAATTCTGGCAATAAACTATGTAAGCACTGAGAAGTCTAGTCAGTCTTCTATATAGCACCTTCTGGAACAGGAGACGGACTGGGTTTCAGAAAAGCACTGGCACTGGGGAGGTGGACGGCAGAAGAATCAAGACAGAGCAGCCACTGATTTCCACCTCTGCCTGCGACAAGAATTTGGGCCTGGTGGGGTTTGCTACCTGATGGTTTTGGGACCTGGAGACTTTTCGCCCTGAAAGTTTTCGTGTTCATGCTTTAAATCAGAAGCAGTTTGTCAGATAGTGGGTACAATGGCTAAAATGGCAGCCAGGTTTCCGGAGTCACACCCAGCTCTGTGAAGCGCTGGAGATGTCACCTCTAACAGGTTACTTGGCCTCTCGGACATTCGGTTTCCGACTGACCAAATCCCAACCAGGAAGGCGGAGCGTCAAGACAGAGTATAGGCTCTGGAAGGAGACTGTCGGAGTTCAAGTCCCGACCCCAGCAAGGCGAGCCTCGGGCATGTTATGTATACCTTTTCTGCCTCAGCCTCCTCATCTATGAAAGATGGTTGTTTATGAAGATAAAATGAGCTAATATACATAATCATATATACATATACATACTATATACATAGAATGCTTTCATAAAATCCTCGCACCTAAGTGCTCAATAACCTTGTGAGGTTATGTAAAGATTAAATGAGGGGCGCCTGGGTGGCTCAGTGGGTTAAGTGGCCAACTCTTGATTTCTGCTCAGGTCATGATCTCATGGTTCATGAGTTCGAGCCCAGCCCCAGCCATGGGGCTCTGCGCTCAAAGCCCTGTTTCAGATCCTCTGTCTCTCTCTCTCTGCCCTTCCCCCACTTGCATACCCATGAATGCATACATGCACTCTCTCTCAAAAATAAATAAATGTTTAAGAAAGTTTAATGAGCTGGGGCCCCTGGGTGGCTTAGTCGGTTAAGCGTCCGACTTTCGCTTAGGTCATGATCTCGCGGTTGGTGGGTTCGAGCCCCGCGTCGGGCTCTGTGCTGACTGCCAGCTCAGAGCCTGGAGCCTGTTTCAGTCTGTGACTCCCTCTCTCTGACCCTCCCCTGTTCACGCTGTCTCTCTCTCTCTCTCTCCTAGAAATAAATAAAAATAAAATTAAAAAAAAAAAAAGAAAGTTTAATGAGTTAACTGGTGTTGAAGCATAGGAGCTGCTCAGTAAATTTTTTTTAATGTTTATTTATTTTTGAGAGAGAGAGCGTGCGGTCAGGGGAGGGCCAGAGAGAGGGAGACAGGATCCGAAGCAGGCTCCAACTGTCAGCACAGAGCCCAATGTGGGGCTCGATCCCACGAAGCATGAGATCATGACCTGAGCCGAAGTTGACGCTTAACCAACTGAGCCCCCTGGGCGCCCCAGGAGATGCTAGGTCCATGTCAGTGATGACTGCCGACTCCTGGATGGCTTCCTCTTCACTGGGCACCCCCCGCTGCCAATGAATGGTGGCTGAACAACTGGATGATGAGAGTGGCAGGCAAGTGAGGGCAACAGGCGCAGGCCAAGCCACAGGAGGGAAGAGGCCTCTGTCGTACCCAGGATGCAGCTCTCTGTCCTCCGCTAGATTCGAGAGGGGATAGGGGTACACATATCCTCACCTTCCCTCCCCTTTCTATACAAGGGCATTTAAGTCACAGGATTGGAAGAAGTCACTGAGTTTATTTGGAGTAAGCGAAGGGAGCCAAAGTTTCATTGGTATATACACACATGTGCACACACACACGCACACACACACACCATCCAAGGCAATGCTGCTCCAGAGGTTGACACTGTCTGCTTGGGGTCCCAGATTTCAGAATCCGGTATGGATCTCGGGGGCCTAAGGAGGCCCAGGCTATGCAGAAGAAACGGTGATGAGGAAGTTTCAGGAGCCCTTTCCCCTGAACACCAGGCCTTGGGAATCCTTTCCCCTCTCTCTCCCCGAGAACCACTTCTATTCCTACTCATCTCCCTCTTCCTGCTCCTTCAGTAGAGGGCATTTCCCAGCTCACCTGGAAGGAATCACCTGGTGCTCCAGGTGCCCATGTGGCCCCCTCCTCCCCATGCGGGTTCTGGCCCATTGGGATTATCCATGTTCTCATAAGAGTCTGCATCTGATTAGGACCAGGAAGCGTAAGATACAGGAAGAGGCAGAGTAGGCCGGGAAGGGGGGAAGCCTCAGAGGACAGCAGGGGACAGCAGGAGATGCACCCACCTTCCTCATGACTAGGACCCGGCTGGGCCCGAAAGGAGCGGAGCTGGGGGGCTGCATACAGGATCCCTCTCATATCCTCGTAGGACTGGGACCCTGTGCGGGCAGGAGAGTTGGGGGCTTGGGGCAGGGAAGTGCGGCCTAACATACAGAAGGAATCTGAGAGGCAGAGGGAGGTGAAAGGCCTGATCCGTGGGTATTGGAAAGGAGCGATTACGGTTAGCAACAGGTTCGGGGCCCTTGTTAAGTACAGGGTTCGGTCAGGTGTGAATTCAATTATCATCAGTGTCAAGAACCGAACTGGAAGAAGTCAAGGTCAGAGTCGCAGTCTCAGAAGGTTGTAGAGACAACTGGGGTCAGAGTTGCGGTTTGCCCTGGGGCTGCAGTGACGTGGAGGTCAAAATGCAGGCTGGAATCAGATTGGGATCAGAGCTGACGGTCACAGGTGGGGATGGGGTAAACACTGGGATCAGGGGTGGGGTGGAGGTTAATGTTAGGAGCCCACCTGAGGCCAGAATCAGAGTCAAGGTCAGGGGTCAGAGTCAAGGTCAAGGTGGAGCATGGAGTCAGCGCTGAGGCCAGGTCAACCCAATCTGGGCAAGGCAGGAGGGTTTCTAGCATTTCTCACCTAGAGAGGTTGCCTCCCTGCTGGGATCCCAGGCGGACCCATGGGGGCTCAGGAAGTCTGGAGAAGGAAGAGGGAAGTTATTCCTCCTGGCGTCCAGGTCATATACCACCCCCCCCCCCAAACAAACACCTCCCAGCATTAACCTGACCATCCTCACGCTACCTGCTGTCCTGGCGACTGGCTGGGGCATCTCTTCATCCTCATTCTCATAAGACTCAGCTCCTGAAGGACGAAAAGAGAACTCCAGGGACCACTCCTGCCCTGTAGGGGCTCCACAGCCCTCTGCGGCCCCACAAGGACCCCAAATTACCGCTGGAGAAGGAGTCTTCATCCCCGGGACCCAAGGCGTCGTCCTCGGGGTTCTCATAGCCGCTGCCATCTGGTGGGGAAGGAAGGGGGTCCAGCGAGGGCCCACGGCCGGCCCGCCGCAGAGAAGGTGGGGCAGCCGCGGGGAGCGCAGTCTTACCCTGGGACAGCTGGTCCTGCCCGAGGTTGGAGTCATTCTCGTAGAACTCGGAGCCCTCCTCACTGTCCGGCTCCTCATACGCTTCCCCTGCCTCTTCTTCCGGGCCTGGGGTTTGGGGATACAAGTGGGAACCGAGTCACAGCCCCCATCCTCCAGGCCCCAGTCCACTAGGCCTGCTACAGACCGCTCCAACACCTTCCACGTGAGGACCCCTGCCCAGCCCCCACCCCACCCCATCACCTGCTGGTGGCGGGCTCCGGGACCCCGCGACTCTGGCCTCCTGTACGTCGCTGCGCGGGTTTCCATAAGACTGGACGGCGGCCCCCAGCTCTGCAGCCCACCTCAGGGCGCGTCCTGGCGGGAGGAACGTTGTAACGGGGCCGGAGAAAAGAGATGGGGGCGGTCAAGGCTAAGGGTCTGCGAGGCTGGGCAGAGGAGCGGAAGCTGCGGGCTCGGCGGGGCACTGGAGGCTGTGCCACCTGGGACGTGGCCTCCGTTTCTGGGGAGGTGCGGCCCTCGGAACCGGACCTCTCGGACCCGCGTCCTGGGGGCGGGGCTACTCGCCCGGGGGAACGGCCCTGGCGCTAGGGGCGGGGCTCGAATCTGGACGGGACTCCGCCCCCTGGGCAGGGCTTTCTCCTGAAGGCGGAGCTCCGGGCTGGGGAAGGCGGGGCGCTCAGGGGAATGGAGTGGCCTGGAAAATGGGTACGGAGTCAGAGAGCAGGCGGTGCCTCCTACCTGTGCCAGAGTTGGGCGTGGGAAGGGAGAGCACGTTCCCGTACTGATTCTGGGGCCCGCTTCCTGGGGGAGGCGTCACTTTGAAGAACCTGGCGAAGGAAGAGGAGTTGCACTGTGAGGCTGGGGTCCTCAGAGGATAAGATGTAGTCACTTGTACTTAGCTCCTGTGTTCTGGCACAGCCTATAGAGGGGTTTGGGATCACTCTAAGGAGGTCTTCACAGAGGAGGTAGCTTTGGAGCTGGGCTTTGAAGCTTGGGCAGTATTTCAACGGTAGAGAAGGAAAAGACATCCTGGGCAGAGGAAACAGTAAGCGCAAAGCATAAAGCAAAAGTGCAGGAATGGGAAACGGCAGGCGCGCCCGCATCATTACCTTCTGGTGGGATCGGTCATTCGCTTTCTTTTCCTCCTGAGGATCAGGACTGGTGGGAGTTAAGAGGAGTGATCAGAGGAGGCAGGGTAAAGATTTGCGGGGCACTGGGGAGGCCACTTGGGTCCATGGAGGGGATTCAAAGTCCAAGGGGCCCGATAACTTTGGAGGGCGGTTAGGGGATTCAGGGACAGGATTGGAGGCCTATGGGGCAGGTATGCGTGTGAGAAAGGTGCTTGGCTGTCAGACTGGCCATTGTGGGCTGTGCTGAGGAAGATGGGGTGGGGTGGGCAGATGGGCTGAGGGACATGACTCACCTCTTCGAAAATGAAGAAAGCTTGCCAGGGAACCCAGGCAGATGATCATATAAAGTAATGGCACAACGAGGACTTTCCAGCCACCAACCTCCAGCAGCCAGTACCTTACTGATAGAGGGAAGCAGGTATGAAATGAGGGCCCCAGGCTGGCATCTTGCTTCCCAGCCTGAGGCCATAAGTTTCAGGAACATAGGTGAGACACAGGTCCTCAGAATCACATGCTACAAGGAGAGCTCTTCTCACGCCCTCTGAGGTCACGGACTGTGCCCCAGAGCCTGACATGGGGCCTGGGGCAGCATTTACTGAACAAACCATGACTGTAGTCAGACTCTATGTTAGGATTAAGGGGGGGGGGGATGGAAGGGGGTGCCTGGGTGGCTCAGTTGGTTAAGCGTCCGACTTCGGCTCAGCTCATGATCTCACGGTTCGTGGGTTTGATTCCTGCATCGAGGTCTGTGCTGACAGCTCAGAGCCTGGAACCTGCTTTAGATTCTGTATCTCCCTCTCTCTCTCTGACCCTCCCCTGCTCATACTGTATCTCTCTCTCTCTCTCTCTCTCTCTCTCAGAAATTAAAAAAAAAAAAAAACGTTAAAAATTTTTTTAAAGGGGTGGGGCATGAAGATCAGCTTCCTGCTATACTCAAAGACAGTCTTTTTCAAAGAGAAGGACAGTCAGGTTCACAGGGTTAGAGGTGGGAGGCTGCAACGTGCTGGGCGTGAAAGTTGAGGGTGAGTTTGAGAACTGTGGCTGGGGTACCACAGGAGGAGATAGAATGTGCAGAGCACTGTGACCGGAGTTGATGGATGGGTGAGGAAAAGGAAAGTACCCAGGTTCCTGGCTTTGGCCTCTGGGCAGGTGGTGGTGTCCTTCACTTACACAGGGCCACCCAAAAGACTACACTCTGGGAAGGTGTGGAGTTTGGTTTTGCGTATTTTGAGCCTGCGGTATCTATGGACTATCAAATAGCAGTTCTGGGAAATGGCTGGGTGTGAAGTGTATGGAACCTGGAATCGAGTCATTAAGGCACAGTGGCCCAAGGAGCCATGGGAGTAGAGGAAGGCAAACAGGAAGAAAGCGTAGACCAGGATGAGAGGGTGCTTATGGTGTAAGAAGAGGCCTCCGGCTCCGACAGTGAGGACTGGGGAAGAAAGAAGACCGTGTCCCCGCTGATGGGAAGGAGCAGCCCGTGGGAAGAGAAGACCCAGAAAAGTCGTGATTTGGAAACAAGGGAGGACAGAGATGGAATCAAGTGTGCGGTGTGGAAGCTGGGCTTTCAGATGAGTCTGGTACTAGCTCTCAGGTCGGGGAGCCAGGGTTGGCTGGCTTCCAGTTCTTCCCAGTAGCCCCACATAGATGCCCCACAACTGGGAGAAACTCTACCTGTCTGGGCGGTGACCTTCAGCTGCATCTCGATGGTCACGTTGCCAAGGTAACAGTGATAGGTGCCAGCATCTCGAGCCGTGGCCTGGGGCAGCAACAGAACAGCCCCTCCCCTGAGGCTGTCCAGGACCCACATCTCTCTGATCGGGGCATCCTCCCTCAGGTTTAAGCTCAGCAATGAGATGTTGTGCTTCTTGGGACGCACGTGGGTCCAGGAGATGGGGCCTCTGGCCACGGAGGCAGGGGGCACCTCACAGGGCAGCCAGAATGCGGAGCCAGGGGCCACGGTGAGGTCTAGGGCAGGGAGAGCCAAGGCTAGGAAAGCATAATCCCTGGGGTCTCCTCCCTGCAAACCCTCCGGTTCCCAATCACTGCCCCCCATCCCTGGAACCCCCACTTCCTGGCATCTCCCCATCACCTTACCTTGGTTGAGGCTCTGGTTCAGACTGCCCCTGGGGGAGGCACATTCAGGGTCTGTCTCCCAGATCTCAGGGTGGTCTTTGGCCCACACGTACAGCTGGGAGCTTGTGGGGTAACCAGAAGAGGGCTTGGGGCCCTCTGGGGACCTGTTCCCCAGGCCACAGCCTGGGTCATTTAGGTATGAAGCATTCCAGCGGAACAGCTCCCCTGGGAAAAGACCCGGAACCAGATACAGACACATCCAGGACAGGAAGAGAGACCCAGAGACCCAGAAAGACAGAGACAGAGAGGGACAAAGACCCAGAGAGAGAGAGAGAGGAACTCAGAGAGAGACGAGAGCGAAAGAGAAGAACAGCTCAGTGCTGAAGTCACGAAGCCACGGGAGTTTTTAGAAGCCACCTCAACCTAGCTGTGTGCTTGTCCCTCAGACCCTTCAACCCCTCCCTGAAAATCTGTCGTAGCTACCAGACTGTCCTCCATGCGTGGTGGGCCTTCCCCTTCTCACCCACCCCTCCCTACCCTCGCCCAGACCTCACCACTGCCCTCGACGCTGACCGTCCAGCCAGACTGCCAGGCCTGCTCAGAAGGGGGCCCCAGCTGGCATACGTAGAAGCCCCCCATCTGGTAGGAGACATTGAAGATGAGGAGCTGGATGCCCAGGGTCCCCTTCTGGATGCCCAGACCTTGTGAACCTTGGCCCAGGTCTGACCGAGCCCCCTGAAACCAGGTCTGCTGCTCAGGAGGACCGTCTGAGGTACCTTTGAGGCATGGAAGCTCAGCTTTGCTTCCCTCTGAGGAGAGAGAGACAGAGAGACAGAGAGAGAGGAACTCTTAGCTCCCTTCATTCTTCACACTGGGTGATAACCCAGCGGCCCCACAAGCTGGAAGTAGATGAGCTCAGAGTTCTTCCACCCCCTCCCTGAGTTTTATAAATAATAAAATGAAGGCCCAGAGAGGGTAAGTTACTTGGCCAAGGGCACCCAGCCAGGCCCAAGTTTCCAGCCCGAACTCCTTCCATCTGTATCCTTTGGACATACCTTTAGCCTCCACCTGCAGCCTTTTCTGGGGCCTGACTCCCTCAGGGGTTAGGAAGAGGAGGAAGAAGAGGAGAGGAGGTGGCATGGCGGCCAGACTCCCCGGGGCACCCAGCTTGGCCGCGCGGAGAATGCTGGGGCAGGCGGGGGCCTGGGGGGCACTGAACCATGTGTGTCTGTGGGGGCGGGCGGCGGGCAGGCAGTCCCCCCTGGGGAGGAAGGGGGTGGTTACGCCTCCAGTTCCCTTCTCTATGCACCCCTCCGGACCCACAAAACTTGTCTCTTCCCTGACACACTTTTATTTTCATCCCGACACTTCGCACCATGTGAAATGAACTTACTCGTGTGTCACTTTCTGTTCCTCCCACTAGAGTACAAACCCTCGAGGCAGAGACTTGGTCCTGCTCACCGCTGAATGCACAGTGCCCTGGGACGGACTTGGCACATCGCAGGCACCCAATGACTATTTGTTAAATTGAGTGGCTCCAGTTTTGGGGGCTCCCTCCTCCTCCTCCTCCTCCCTCCTTCAACCTCAGGCTCTAACCTCCTTTCTCTTCACACACATACCCCATTCATTCATTCAATCAACATGTCTTGGGCCTCCTTCCCACTCTGTGCAACATACTTTGGGATCGGGCAGACTTGACTTTGAACCCTCCACGTCTACCACTTGGCTAAATTTCTTCATTCATCTAAGCTCTGGTTTCTTTCTCTGTAAACTGGGGACAATAATAGTACCATGAAAATCTTGTTTGTGAAGATTAAACAAGACAGTATACGTGCAGCATTTTTAGCCCAGCGCCTGGTGCATAGTAGGCCCTCAGTTAATGAGAGACAGCATCAACCAGTGGCCAAGAGCGAGTGCCAGGTTGGTGCTGCAGCTCCCCCAGCAGTCCTGAGAAATGACTGGCGATCAGTGCCCCTTTGTCTCCCTGTTCTTCCCCCAGGAAGCCCCTGCCTGCTTCGGTTATGGAAAGAACCCATTTAGAAACGGGGAAATTGAGGCCCCCAAAGGGCAGGGTGTTGCCTGAGCTCACACAATGAGCTGGTGGTCATAGAAGCAGCACTAGAACTCAGGAATCCTGACTCTTAATAAATCTGCTCTTCTGTCCCCCACCCCCACCCTGTTTCTCCCCTCCTTTCCTCCTCCCCCAGCTCTCTCTCTCTCTCTCTCTGTCTGCATATGTGGGTGTGTCTCCGCTTTAACTCTGCAGTCACTCAGGGAAAGGGTCCAGGGACCCAGGAGACCTGCTTTCTCGGTTGCCAGTTCCCAAGCCCGTCTCGCTGGGCTGCAGCTTCCTGTTTGCTTCAGGCGAACCCCAGGGGACCCTCCAGCTGGTAAGGCCCCACTTCCCTTTGGTCAGGTCGGGGTGGCTGGGAGGAGGAAGAGTGGGGCATTGGGGAATGGAGAAGATGAGGTGGCAGGGCTCCGTTTGCCTTTCATTCAACAAAATCTCTCCAGTCTCCTTCTGCCTCACCTGCACTTTCCTGCTTAGAACACCACAGTGGCAGGCCGCCTGGGTGGTTCAGTTGAGTAAGCATCTGACCCTTGGTTTCAGGTCAGGTCGTGATCTCACAGTTCATGGGTTCGAGCCTCACATCTGGTTCTGCGCTGACAGCGCGAGTGACGCTGCCCCTACGTCCATTTCCCATCTCAACCCTCTACTACTCTGTCCCTCACTCCAAACAAAGACTTTGCACTTGCCGCTCTTCTTCCTGATCCCTCCTTGGCTTTTCTACTTCTCTGGCTCCTCTTTATCCCTCAGATCAAATTATATTTCCTCCAAGAGGCCTTCCCTGACCCTCCAGGGACTTTGGATGTCACACCCCTCTTTGATTTTTTTCCCAGCGTTTGCCCCGATTCCCAAATATGCTTGCTTATTTCGTAATCTCTCAACTACTTTCCTGGCCCAGAATGTTCACTCTTCAACAACAGGGATCTTTACTGGCTTGTTCCCTGGCATCTAGTGGGTGCTCAATAAGTATTTGTTGCGTAAAATGTGAAAATTAATGAAGGGAAACCAGGCGAGAAGGGGGAGCTCTCATGCCATACGGTTCTACCTCAATTGTAGGAAGCATTGTCAGTTACAGGCTCAACAGAAGAACCTTCCACAGGAAAGAATCATCCCAACAGGATGAAGATAAACGTTACATCTCCTACAAGAAATCGACCACCCCGGCAGCTCAGCCAATGAGAAACCATTATCGTCCTGAATTCTTGCTTTTCTCCAATGAATTTTCATTCAAAACAACCCCTCCCAACTTCTTGTTAAAAAATTTTTTAAAGGTTTATTTATTTTTTGAGACAGAGGGAGACAAAGCGTGAGCGAGGGAGGGGCAGAGAGAGAGGGAGTCACAGATTCCGAAACAGGCTCCAGGCTCTGACCTGTCAGCACAGAGCCTGATATGGGTTCTCACGAACAGCAAGATCATGACCTGAGCCAAAGTCCTACGTTTAACCAACTGGGAGACCCCGGCACCCCAATCCCTCCCAAATTCTTCTTCTCCACAAAACAACATTCCTCACCTGTATTTGTTGGGCTAGCCTATGGTTTTTGCTGTCCCTTACTTATCCTGAATTGCAATTCTCTGCTATTCGCAAGTAAACCGGTTTTTGCTGGCAAAAAAAGTCAACAAAAAGAAATTAGGAAGAGTAAAAGAAAGCTTTCTCTTCACATCTCTCTCATGCACTCAGTCACCAGGGCTAGTCCATTTTTCATCCTAAGTATTTCTAGAATCCAGTTCCTCCTTTTTTTGGGGTCCTTCCTTTCCCAACCAGAACCACTTCAATAGCCTCTTTTGTGGGCTGTCTTCTATCTCTCTTTTGCTCTTTACCTAAACTCTACACAGAAAGAACTTCCTTGGTATTAGTCATGTGCTTCTCCTGCTCAATAGCCTTCAAAGGCTCCCAGGGCCTCAGGATAAAATCCAAGCCTGACAGTTGACTGGAGCCTTATTTATAGTCCCCATTTCACTTCCTTCCCAAGAAACTCTGCCACACACACAGGGAATCTGAGGTCAGTAAACTCCTGGGGATTTACAAGCAGGAGTTAACCTGGCCAGATTTTTTTTAATACTCCTTTTTATTTAAGTTTAGTTATTTTTGAGAGAGAAAGAACACGCAGGAGGAGCAGAGAGAGAGGGAGAAAGAGAGAGAATCCCTACGCGAGCCCAAAGTGGAGCTTGAACTCATGAACCATGAGATCATGACCTGAGCTGAAATCAAGAGTTGGACACTTTGACGGAGTCACCTAGGTGCCCCCAAATTTTTTGTTTTGTAATCTCCACATCCAACTTGGGGCTCAAACTCAAATGACCCTGAGATCAAGGGTCTCACCCTCCTCCGACTGAGCCAGCCAGGAGCACCTAACCTGGCCCAATCTGCATTTACCTAAACTCCCCCTGGCTGCAGTGTGGAGGGGAGATTAGAGGGAAGCCAGAGAGATGAGTAAGGAAAGTGTTCATTCATTTATTCACCAAATGTTTACTATGTGTGTTTTGTTTTGTTTTGTTTTCTAAATCAGGCACTGTGCTAGGTGCTGGGGTAACAGCAGAAACAAGACAAGGTTCCTAACCTCATGAAGCTTTGACTCAAGTTTTGGGGACCTGGAAGGGTAAAGGGGGACAGGTAATAGACAAGTTAATCAATAAACAGTTTCAGACGATAAGAAGTCATTTAATGGCAGACAGGTGATAGAGCTAGCTACTTGAGACAGAGGAGGTGTCTACTGGGGTGGGGAAAAGCTTGGTGTGTTCAAATAAGATCATGTTTAGTTTCATTAGAAACTGTCATACTCTTGGGGCACCTGGGTGATTCAGTTGGTTGCGTGTCCCACTCAATTTCAGCTCAGGTCATGATCTCAAGGTTCGTGGAATTGAGCTGCACAGCTGACTCTGTGCTGAGTGTGGAGCCTGCTTGGGATTCTCTCTCCCTCTCTCCCTCTGTCCCTCTCCCACTTTCTTTGTCTCAAAATAAATAAATAAACTTAAAAAAAATCACACTTTTTTTTAAGTTTGTTTGTTTAATCTCTACACCCAATATGGGGCTTGAGCTTGGGACCCCAACATCAAGAGTCACATGCTCTTCCAACTGAGCCAGTCAGGCACCCCAGAAACTATCATACTCTTTTCCAGAAAGGCTATACCGTTTGCATCTACCATCAGGAATATAAGAGAACTACAGTTTTTCCATAAACGTACCAGCATTTGGTATTATCACTTCTTAAAACATTTTTTTCTTTATGTTTTATTTATTTCAGAGAGAGAGAGACAGCATGAGCAGGGGAGGGTTGGAGAGAGAGGAAGATACAGAATCTGAAACAGGCTCCAGGCTGTGAGCTAGCTGTCAGCACAGAGCCTGACATGGAGTTTGAACCCACGAACCATGAGATCATGACCTGAGCCGAAGTCGGACGCTTAACTGACTAAGCCACTCAGGCACCCCTTTAAGTTTAATAAATTAAGCCATCCTGGTAGGTGTGTAGTGATATCTCCTTGTGGTTTTAATTTGCATTTCCCTAATGGCTAATGATGTTGAACATCTTTTCATGCATATATTTCCCACCTCTGACATCAGTGAAATGCCTATTCCTGTCCTTTGCCCATTTTCAAATTGAAATGAACTAGAAGATTTTAAACAGGGATGACATAGGATCGGTTTTGCAAAGATCACTTTATTGCTTTGAGAATTCACTAAAGGAACCAAACGGCAACACATGGGAACAGTTAGGAGGCATTGTGGAAGTTGAGGAGAGAGACGGTGGAGATGAAGAAAAAGAGACACCTTCTGGAATACTGTCCTTTGGAGGCAGAACTTCCAGGCTCCTGGAATGTACTTCACAGAGGGAGAAACGGGTTTGGGAGAATGGGAATCAAGGTACAGCATTGAAGTTTGAGTGGCCTGTCACCGTCAAAGGGAAGATGTCAGGTCGCCGGTGGCTAAGTTCATAGATAATGAGACCTTGATTTAGGGCAGTGGCCCAGGGAGGACAGGGATTTGTGAGGCACAGGCAGGGGGAAGGGGGATTAGCAGGAAGCCGTGACTGGTTGAGTATCCGGGTGGGGGTAGGGACGTGGAAGTGCTGTGGAAGTTCTGAC